ATACAGATACACACATACATATAATCACAACTACATGCACATACATACATACTTACATACATACATACGTACGTACGTACATACACACATGCATGCAAACATACATACACACATATATACTTACATTCATACATGCATGCACACACATGCATACATACATACACACCTGCATACTTACATTCATACATGCATACATGCATCCATACACACATACATACGAACATACAAACATACACACATCCAATCATACAAACACACAAACCTACAAACATACAAGCATACAAACATGCATACATACATACATACATGCATGCATACATTAATATACTTACATAAATACGTACTATGCACGCACGTATGTATGTACATATGCATACAAACACACACATATATGTTCAGACTACACAAACATGCTCATACGCATTCACCGCCGTGCCTCGCAGCAGAAGGGGGATGGGGGAAGGAGGGGGAGGAGGAAGAGAGGGGCTGGATGGGCAGGGAGACGGGAGACGCCTGTGGAGCAATGAAGATGGTCTTCACCGTACTCTGGGGAGGCCGAAGGCGGTGCCTAGTGCACTCCCCCCAGGAAGAACAAGGCAGGAGGGTGTGGGGGTGAGCGTGTGGGGCGGGAGGGGGAAGGGGGGGGAGATGGGCGGTGGAAAAGATAGAGGGGATGGGAGTGGAAGGAGAAGGGGGTGGTGACGGGGCGGTGGGGAAAGGGAGCGGGGACAGGGGATCGTGTCCGCTTTTACGGCTCCCCAGTATTGTAGATCAACTCTCGGTCACTGATTTCCGGGGGGCTTGCGAACCGGATGTTCGGGGCAGCTGCAGAGACGACCGAGACCTCCATCTGATCCTCCTCGCCGAGCAGCGCGAAGCCGGATTGCTGACCACGCCTCGGGGAAGTGCCATCAATGCTGTGGCACACATGCTGTCGAGGCAACAACTGGCCAAATGTCATGCGAACGGTGGACAACATTTCTCGCACACCCAGGTGGTCTGAAACCCGGGCCAGCTTCCCAGTGGCTGCCAGAAGAGATGCTGGGTGAACGCCTCTCGATGGCTGGCGCAACATCATCGGAGGTCGAGGGGTGAGATCGCAGTGGAACGGAGACCCCCAACCGGGAAATCGTTTCGTTTCGTTCGTGTCGTGCGTGCGGACGAGGCACAGCTGCGTGGGCGCGCGAGAGGAATGAACCCGCCGCTGCTAGGGCGAAGTCAAGACAAATGATTCTCATCCGTCCGTCCGTCCGTCCGGCGGTGGCTCGCGGTGTCCCGCGGTCCCGTGGTGTCCCGTGGTGTCCGCCGTTGCTAGGGTGAAGTCAAGACAAATGATTCTCCCCTGTCCGTCCGTCCGTCCGGCGGTGGCTCGATTTCTCCCGTGGTGTCCCGTGGTGTCCCGTTGAGTCAGATCGATAGTGAGATCGATGGTGAGATCGATACTGAGATCGATGTTGTGCCCCGAGGTGTCCCGTGGTGTCCCGTGGTGTCCAAAAAAGTGAGATCGATAGTGCAATCGATAGTGAGATCGAGAGGTGTCCAGTGGTGTCCCGTGGTGTCCAGTCGTGTCCCGTCGAGTGATGTCGATATTGAGATCGATAGTGAGATCGATACTGAGATCGATGTGGTGCCCCGAGGTGTCCCGTGGTGTCCCGAAACATTAGATCGATAGTGAGATCGATAGTGAGATCGACAGGTGTCCCGTAGTGGCCCGTGGTGTCCCATGGTGTCCTCTTGAGTGAGATCGACAATGAGATCGATAATGAGATCGATAATGAGATCGATGTGGTGTCCCGAGGTGTCCCGTGGTGTCCCGTGGTGTCCTATGGTGTCCCGTTGAGTGAGATCGATAGTGAGGTCGATAGTGAGACCGATAGTGAGATCGAGAGGTGTCCCGCGGTGTCCCGTGGTGTCCTGTGGTGGCCCGTGGTGTCCCGTGGTGTCCCGCTGAGTGAGATCGATAGTGAGATCGATCGTGAGATCGACAAGTGTCCCGTGGTGTCTCGTTGAGTGAGATCGATAGTGTGATCGATGGTGAGATCGACAAGTGTCCCGTGGTGTCCCGTTGAGTGAGATCGATAGCGAGATCGATTGAGTCAGATGTTGGTTCCCCCCCTCCCCCCCCTCACAACCTCCTTATCCCCCGAAAGGTGGTCGTATAGCCAGATCCGCTGAGCTATCCTCCTCCGAGCTCGCTTTCCGCAAGTGTGCCTGCGTCGATCGGATCGGATCGGGTCGGATCGCCTGGGCGGACATGCGCCCGGGCCCCTTCAGGGCGAGGCGGGTGAGGCCATAGCCTATCATGAGAGGCAGCGCGCTTCGGAGGCCTGCTCGGGATAATGCGTACCTCACGAGTTGGTGTTCCGATTGTTCCCACCCCTCTGTTGTGATCCGATATAGAGCCTGCGTCGATCTTCTCCCTGGTCCTCCTGCTCCTCCTGCAGCCGCTGCTCGCCCTGACTGGCACTGGGCGCCGCCAGCCCAAGAGGAACCTGTGGAGGAACAGGAGAAGCGTGAGAGGAGGTCTCGCCATCGCTCGGACGTCCCTTCCTCGTGCATTTTTCGCTTCCGTGCGTGCTTGTTTCGCCAAGTCCTCCAGGATGCTCCTCCAGGGTCCTCGCCGAGGGAAACATATGCACACCTCCGAGCGAGGCCAAGAAAGAGGTGGGGGGAGACGGCGAAGGGCAGCAGTAAGAACAGCAGCAGGCAGCTCTGGCTCGCTGCGGCAATGCCCCCCGCGCCACCAGCAGGAGCCAGAGCAGCGGGCGCCGAAGGCGGCCGCAGGCCGGCAGCGAGCAGGTGCCCGCCGAGGGAGCCTTCCGGCAGAGGGGGCGGCGCCGAGGCAGGCCCGAGCAATGCCTCGAACGCCGCAGCTGCGCCGAGGAGGCCAGGCCATGCCATGCCCGAGGCGGCCACGCTGACCCAGCGCGTGAAGATGCAGATCGCAGCGGTCTCACTCGGCATCGAGATTATGATCCTGCAGACCAGCTTCGAGCCCTGACCTTCGCCCTCTCGGTGGAGGTCTTGCCGAGATTTACTCCAGGAGTTCGGGTATGTCTCTTACACTATTTACCTAGGCCCATTTTGGGCGGACGACCGCGGAGGACGGCGGCGACAGCAGTGTGCACGGGGCGACTCGTGGGCCTCGCGTGGCCGGGATGCCCGCCGGCTTCCTCGTGCTCCGCCCATCGGCACCGCCTTGGGCACCGGCCGCGGGAGGCGACGGCCGACGCCGCGAGTGGCTCCAGCTGCGCGCGAGGGACGGAGGAAGGGCGAGCGGCCGGACGGTCGCTCCCTGCTGCGAGCTGAGCGACCCCCTGCTGGCAGCCAAGACGGCATGGGCAGGCCGTGGGTGGCGCAGCGCGAGAGGTGCGTAGGGCGCGGGTGCCGCAAAACTGCTGACGCTGATCTCGCCGCGAGGTCTGACGTCCCCAGGTGGGGCCCAGGCATAAGAAACCGAGGGGAAGAGGATGAGCGGAGGGAGACGCAGAACGAGGAAGCACGGCGGCGGACTGGCGAAGTCAGACGGGGGGAGGGGGAAGAAGCCCTGTGCCGTGCGGGAAGGGATCACGAAGCAAGCACCGGCTCGTGTCTTGACAGGCCTGCCTCTTCACGTCCAGGCGTGCGTGCGGAGCTCGGGCTGCTGTGGCTGTGGTCTGCTAGACCACGTGCCTCGGGCGTCTGCAAATGTACAGTCGAGGTGTTGACCTAAGGAACCCTAAATAAGGAACGAGGCCCCTATGTTCCATGAGTTAAACTTCGAGTTCGTACCGAAGCCATAAGGAAAATCTGAGGCAAGCTGCGAAACAATTAAGGAACACGGAGCCCCTCCCCAACGAAAAGGGTTCCTTCTTCAGGGCCCCGACTGTACATTCAGACAAGGATCGCTTGCGACGTGCTGGAACGTCTACCCAGCTCCCGTGCCCCAGACTCGCAACTTTCGAAATGACCAGTCGCGTGGACCTCCGTATAATGAACTCACGGATCGTCACGGCGCCGCGGAGCCTGTGGAGTTTACCGAAGCATCCTCCTCCATGACGACTGCGAAATGGATTCAGACCTTGCCCTCACTGTCCAGCACGAGCTGGCGTACAGTGCTGTCGGCGTGACAGCCGCGTGGAAGAATCCCAAACGAGCCAGCAATGAGAATCTGCGTGATCAAACAAGTGCATGCTTGACTTCTGGGGATGACCTCCATGTAGCAGTCATGCTGTGCGGCGGCTCAGCTCCATGAGAATCTCCCGAGCAGGCCACGCGCTCAATCTATCTCTCTGGTTTGCTGGCAGGAGCAATCTCAACTTCGCAGCCCCCTGCCTTCGCGTGCAGAGGGAGAGAAAGCAGGCATCCAGGGGGCGATACGCCGTGCTGTACAGTTCCTGGCCGGCAGCGGAGGCCATGCACCCCTCGAGCTGAGGCTGTACTCGACAGGGTGGGCGACCACGGAGTGGCAAAGCAGGCGCTGGAGCAGAGGCAGGAACGGAGCGAGGAAAGCCGCCGAGCGCTGTGGATGCCATGGCAATGGACACTCCGACAATCCGATGCTTGAATTTAAGATGTGTTTAAAATGTGTAAAGCATGCTCTAAACATGTTTCAAACATGTTTGTTTTATGTTTTTTGTTATGTCGGGCACATGTCGCCACCAGGTCGCCCGGCGCGGGTTTCTCCTGGCAAACTGGGAGAAGTTGTCTTCGAATTGTGCAGATTAGGGCCGGCAGCCTGCCAGCCTCCTCTACCTCTTCCTCCTCCACCACATGAAACATTGTGAAAACATTTTCCTTTTAAAGAAAAACAGATGTGAAACATGTTTTTAAACATCTGGAAATCATTTGGCAGCATGCTTCCTCTCCATTCACCGACTTCCACAAGCCGGGCGCGGCCCTCAGGGCACGAGGCCGACGAGGGGCCGGCGCACCGGGACGGGCGACGAGGCAGCCATCCCCCCGTGGGTCCCAGGGTGGCATCTCGTCGTCGGCAGTGCGAGGCATAGCAACGCGGGCCCTCGCCATCGCTCGGACGTCCATTCCTCGTGTACTTTTTCGCTTTCGTGCGTGCTTGTTTCGCCAAGCCATCCAGGATGCTCCTCCAGGGTCCTCGCCGAGGAAGAAATGCACACGTCCCAGCGATGCCAAGGGCCACGGGGCCGCGCCAAGAACAAAGTGCAGGGAAGGGGAGGGAGGGTGCGCCATGCGCGAGCAGCCCGAGAAGGCTCCAGGCCCGTAGACAAAAGGCCGTGGGGGAGGCTGGGGCACCGCACCGCGTGGAAATGGTATGACTCCTCGCTTACACCATTGGTGTAAGCGAGAGGTGATCGAAGACACTACGTTTAGGGACAATATTCAAGCCTGTAGTCCCGCGTGAAAGTAACTGGTAATCCAAGAAGCCCGACACTCATGTTGCCGGACCGACCCAACGTTTGACCACAACCCGTGGCCAAGCAGGGGGCATAACAAATGACGGCGGACGAGGCGGACCCTTGGAGGTGTGATCAAGAAAACGGCGACGAATAGGCCTGACACCTTGGGGAGTCAGGGAACAAACAGGACAACATGCGCGTACCCCTCCCCTGCTGCTTGTGTGATCCTTGCCCACGCAACCGAATCTCGTCTGCTGGATACACGCGCATTTGATGATTTGGTTGAAACCGTTCCGAGCGTGTTCTGTGACAGTCCTGGACAATGTATTGGACACTCGTGGGGGCTTCTTGGGACCCCGAGGGGGCCACTGGCAGCGAAAAGGGAATCCACCAAGTGAGTGATTCTGACGATGACTTCCGCGCGCGCGCGCGAGGAGGGGAAGCGACGAGGCATCCAGCAAAAAAACGCCGACGATGAGCCCCCCCCCCCCGCACCACGACGCCTCGTGAACAAAAACGCCGACGGCGACAGACACGGAAGCGCCAACAAAAGGGCTACACCGTCACTGACTGGGATGATGCAAAGACATGGCCCGTTCTGGGAACCGAACCTCCAAAGATTGACGTGCCTCGGGGGACAGCCTTTGCGTCCGCTGGCTCCCGCGGGCGCAGCCGCCTCGGTTTTGCTTCTGCGAGCTTCCGCCGCCGATCCCCTGGAGGGCGGGGCCCGTTGTGGAGCGCCTGTCGACTCGCACACGAAGCAAGGGAGAGCGGGGGCAGAGCAGACGGCGGGCATACAGAAAAGACTAAGTGGTAGAACGGGTCCCCAGACTAAGTGGTAGAACGGGTCCCCAGACTAAGTGGTAGAACGGGTCCCCAGACTAAGTGGTAGAACGGGTGCGTGTGGTAGTGGACCACTTGCAAGTGGTAGAAGGGTTCCAAGGTAAGTGGTAGAACGGACCCTCACAGTGATAGAACGGGGTATTTTTGCCCAAGAGTGCTCCCACCGCGGGGCGGACCAATGGCTCCGTGCGTACCGTCCGCGCGGGGCGCAGCGCCGGCGAGAGGTCGCCTCGCCCGGTGGTGTCGCGGGCACCCACACACGGTAACTTGCCCGACATGGCCGTCACATAGAAGTTGCCCTTCACCCAGGGGCGCGCGCTGGCGGTGAGGAGAGCGCTGCCGCGTCGGCGCAGGGCGCGGCGAGCGCGTGACGGGGCCGCGCGGCCCAAGCTCCGCGGCTCCGCCACCCGCTCGGCCGCCCCCGCGCCCTGGCGCGCAGCAACCCCCAGGGGCTCACAGGAATGGCGCGTCCAGCTCCACCCGCTCGGGCGACTGCGACTGCGGCCGTCGCCGCCGGGGCCGCTCCGCGCGCAGGCGCAGCGAGCCCTCGACGGTGAGGGCCGCGCTGGCGCGCGGCGGCCCGAGCGCGTTCATCTCCGCGAGCTCGTCGCGCAGGCCGCAGTGCGCCAGCCATGTGTCCAGGAACTGCGCGGGGGGCAGGTCCTTCACGGGGCCCTCGAGGAAGGACTCGAGCCACGCGGCCTGCTCCAGCTGCCGCTGCGCCTCCCGCTGGTCCGCCCGGAAGAAGGCCGCCTGCTCCTCCGCCAGCTCCTGGGCTTTCTGGTTGGCCTGCCGGGCTCGCTCGTAGAGCTCGTCCTCGGTGGCCATCGCTGCCTCCTGCACCTCTGACAGCTTGGCATCTACTCTCTTGAGGAGGCTCTCCTCCGCCTGCTGGCGCCGCGGGCCCAGCTTGTCGGCCTGCTCCCTGTGAAGGGCGTCCTCGTATGCCTCCCCCACGTCGACCAGGCGGTGCGAGGCTGCCTCGCCGGCGCCGTGGCTCCCGAGGCTGAGGCAGTGGGGGCAGATCGGAACCTGGCAGACGGTGCAGAACTTGTCGGCCTCCACCTCTGGATGGTCCGGGCAACTGCCCTTTGGCGCCCCGGGGCGCAGGTTGACATCGACCCGCTTGTGCTTCATCGCGATGGAATTCGAGTGGACCTTGTGGTCGCACGCGGGGCAGAAGACCGCGTCGTCTGCCTCGCAATACTTGAGCGCGGCACGCACGCCGCAGAGATCACACAGGGGCAGCTCCAGCCGCTCCTGCGCCGCGGGGTCGAACTCAAAGTGCACGAGGTACACCGGCAGAGCCTGAGCGGGGTCTCTGACGACGTACTCGTGGTGCAGGATGTGGCGAGGCAGGACCCCCTCAGTGGACGCGTCGTCGATCACTTGGTGGTTGATGAAGAAGCTGTCGTACTCTGGGGGCAGCTCGACGGCATCAAGCGAGGTCCCTTTCTCCACCTTAAACGAGCGCCCCACACCCACGCGGCAGAGCAAGAACTCGTAGAGACGGCGGCCCGCCGGCAGCGCCCTGCCCCGGCCGCGCACGTCTCTCCCGCGCGCGTCGCGGGCCTTGCTTGTCTCGTCCACACCCCGGAACATTCCAGGCAACGTCACGTTGCCGATGTGGAAGGAGACCCCGGCGTGCCCAGCCCGGAAGCCGTTGTGGCACACCTCCTGCACCGAGGTGCTCTGCGGCAGCTCCGCCACAGGCACCCAGGCGTGAAATTGCTGCATGCCCCGGCACCGCTGCTCGTTCTCCGCCTGCAGCCGCCTGTTCGCAACCATGTGCGCCGACCGCAGCCTGATCCTCGATGTCTGGCAGCTGGCCTGCAGCAGGTACTCGAGCCATCCCCACTCGGAACTCCTGCGGGCCACGTTGACGAAGGGTTCCGCCCCCGCCAGGACCAGCTCCGAGAGGTCCATGCGTAGCTGAGGGCGCGTCTGCGCTGGTCTGCCCTTGGGCAAGAGGCTACGGACCTGCTTGTTCGTGCGCGCGTCAGAGGACGGTAGTGGATGACGACGGGAAAAGGAAGGGATAGGAGAGGAGGGGGATAAGGATAGAAATGATGAGGATGTGGAGGAGGGGCTCAAATAAGAGGAAGGTTACTTGCCGTCCTCCTCCTCCTCCTCCTCCTCGTCATCCTCTTCTTCCCTGGGCCAGGCTACGTTCCATCTGCTCGGCGGTAAAGCGTGCAACCAGGAAGGGCGTTGTCCAGTCGGGAAGGAGGAGGAAGGAGGAGAAGGAGGAGTCCAACGGAGGGGAAGATGTTCGCCTGCGTCAATGCTCAAACTTGCTTATGCTCGAAGACTGGGCGAAATATGTGGGCTGAACTCGCTTAGCCTACGATTGCGCTTGAGCTGGCTTTGGCTCGGGTTTTGCCATCGTAATTCGCTTTGCTGGTGCGCACGTAGGTTTGGACTTCAGCATTCCTTCTTTGTTTTAGAAAATAAAAAAAGGATTCGGAATACAAAGCAGCTAGTTTGTATGGTTACACACCTTCAGCTTCGGGAAAACTCTGCAAATACTGATTGTATTGCTCCCTTTCCGAAGAATCTGCCGTGACGCGCCGTGCCCGCGATCCGTGCCCCGCCCGCGCGCCGTGCGGTGCTCAGCTGCGCGATCGAGCGCAAGCAAAAATGCCGCCGCGTGCCCTGCCGTGCCCTGCTCGACCTCCGCAGATGTGCGAGAGGTGGGCCGTGCCTCGCGCAATCTGCCCGCCGTGGAGTGCCCGCGTGGCGCGCCGTGCCCGCGCACCACAGTCAGCCCGTACAGTAGGGATGCGCGGCAAGGACGCGAGGGCCTCGAAAGGCGGTGCTGACGCGGTTCGGACGAGGATGGCCAGCGAGCGTCGCTGAGGAGGGGCCGAAAGGGGCAGGGATGCGAGGGCACCCTTGGGGGGAAAGCTGCCCATCCTCACTGTGCGGGTCGACTGTGTCCTCTTCCAATTTCGTGCTCCTCCGCCCTCCTCCTGCAGCTGGCGGCCTGCCAATCGCCAGGCCCGGCGTCCACAGCACGTCCGAATACTTGTGCGGCTCCGCGGCGGAAGCCGCGGTCGCCGGCCCGAAGGGGTAGAGGCCATCGAAGTGGGCCGCCCTGTACAGCGTCGTGTACAAGCCTTGAGGGGGAGAGGACATAGAAGAAGCGGGGGGGGGAGAGGGAAAAGGGAAAGGAAAAGGAAAAGGAGGAGGAGGAGGAGGAGGAGGAGGAGCAGCAGGATAGAGGATAGAGGAGGCGAAGGAGGAGGACCATAATAAACACCAAAGATGCATAAGCGATGCTGCCATACACTCTCCCGTGCGAAGTCCCCTCCCCGTACACCCCTACAAGTTCTCCTTTTCACTACACGAAACGCCCGACTCGAACGACCAGCATAGTTGGGCCTGCCTCTTGGGTAAGGGCCCCGCTTTGGCAAGGAAATTGCCTTGCACTCTTATGGCGCCTATGTCGACCAATAGTTGGTCGATATAGGCATCCCGTTGAGAATTGTACTTTTTCATTTTTGTCACAAACTGAAAAAACAATTCAACGGGATGCCCAGCCCCCTTAGGACGAAGGACCCCCGGAACCCCCACCCATTTGTGTTGACTCAAGCTGCATTGTGAAAAGGAAAGGTGTCCATATGTGAGGCGAGCTGAAACTGTCAAAACGAATATGCGCGGCGCTACGGCGAGACCACAATTTGGAATACGATCCCCCGTCCATCCCTGATCCGGCTGCAAAGTTTCAACACGAGCATGCGCGGAGCTAGAACGGGAGGCACATTTTGAAAACGCCCCTCATCAATCCGCGAAGCTGCTGTAAACTTTGAAACCGAGTGCGCGCGTCACCCAGGCAAGAGCCGCACTTTGAAAGAAAGAAACCTCCATCTGTCAGACTGTCGAATACGAACGTGCGCGGCGCCATAAGCGAGAACTGCCTTTTGAAAACTACCACCCCTCCATCCGCGAAGCCGTTGCAAACTTTGAAATCAAAATGCACGCGGCGTTTAGAGCGAGAGTCACACTTTGAAAAGGACCCCCCTTCCATGTGTGAAAACGTTGCAAACTTTGCAAACGAATGCGCGCGGCGCTAAAACGAGAACCACAATTTGAAAGCCACCCCCCTTTCTTCTGTGAAACTGCTGTAATATGTATAAAAAAGAAGCGCGGCATCCAGGAAAGAACCTCATTTTGGAAAAGAAGCGCCCTCCATCTGTGAAGCTCCTGCAAACTTTCAATTTGAATGTGCGCGGCACTGAGGCGAGAGCCACATTTTCATACTACCCCCTTCCATCCCTGAAGCTGCTGCAAACCGTAAACAAACTCAGCAAACTCAGCCGGTCGACTCCAGCGCAAAACCCATGGGGCCCATCTGGAATGAAAGAATTGTGGCGGCACTCGAGGCAGTGTCAGACCCTGCAGGCGCTCCACCCCCATCACCTTCACTGGTCTCCGCGCAGCAGGTGCGCAGCATGATCCTCGCGAGCTTCTCGAGCTTGATTGACGAGGGGGCCCAACAAGTCCTGGGCAACCTCCCAGGGCGCTTCGGCGAGCGTTCTCTTCTGTTTCTCAGCTTCTTCCTTGTCTTGCCCAGACACTTCAGCTTCCTTCTCGACGTCGGCCACGGGCTCCCCGAGCGCGAACAATTAGCTGAGATCCAACCCCTCGTCAAACATGTCATCGGCGCGCAGGGTGGGACGCTGCTGCTGCCCCTGAAGTACTGGATTTGATCCAGCGTCCTGTGGCAGCTCGGCCTGCACCTCCTTGCGCTTGACACCAGCATTGTCCGACTCGTCCTGCAGGGTGGAACTGTACCCAAAAGAGGTTCTGGGCGTCCGCCCTCCACTTCGCCAGCTTGTCCAGCTCCGCCCCGCATGCGGGCTTCAAGCTTCCAAAACTTCAGCGCGAGCGGTCTGGCCCCGTTGATGGACAAGTACCGATGCAGGGTTGAGTTTCGCCTCCAACTTAGCAGCTCGAATATGATGCTTCTGATGATCCCCCGCCTTCTTGGCCAAGGCGGAGAGCTGCTTGGCCTCCTCGACGGTGAGGTTCGGCAGCGAGCTGACGGGGAACGGATTGCTGTCGCCAGCGCCTTTGCCACCGCCGTATGCCAGCCCATTGCCCACGTCGCTTCCCTTGGCGTCCTTGTCCTTATTGCCGCCCTCGTCCTGGATCCAGGATTCGCCAGGGCCTGCCTGTATGAACGGGGCCAAATTGGAGAGTTCCTGCAATGCTGGGCCCACCCTTGGCCGCGGGGATGAACGAGCCAGGTGGAGGATGACGCCAAGGCGGAAGAGGAGGAGCTTGAACATGATCCATGAGCGCCATCTGCAAGAAGTTGGCGCAGCAATGCTTGCAATACCTTGCCTTCGTCTCGTTATTGTTGCAGCCGCGCATGATGCGCTTGAATAATGGTGTCAGTATCCCCTTCTGCTTGCTGTAATCGGAAAGGGGACTTTTCCATGTGATGTTGCTGCACGCCTTGCCACGCGCCGCCATGGCGGCTGCAGGTCATGCGAGAGAACGGCAAAGCGTAGAAACCGAAGGTTCGCAAACGCCGCACCGTGTCAAAGTGAACGTTTGCAAGGGCGCGGGAACCCCGGGCCCCGACAATGCTTAAAGCGGATGAGGACGAGGAGCAGGCGGGAGAGTACGGGGTCGTAAGTTGGTTGTCTGCGACTCCATTACACATGGAGCCTCAATCCTATGCCTGGTGGCAATGCTGGCAAGGCGGTCATAACCAGCCTGGCGTCAGCGAAACGCAGCTCATGACAGCAGCCCCCACATGCAAGGCGGACCATGCCTGCAAGGGGCGACTCGCCGCACTTTTCCTCCAGGGAGAACGCAAGGCACGGAACATGCTGCGAATCAATGCCGTCAGTCGCGGAAGAAGGGTGGAGAAGGAGGGAGGGAACAGTGTAAACCCAAGACTCATCAATGATGCTGGAATAAAACCTTCCCCCAAGCTCCCTTTGCACAGGCCCCATACAAAATGTTCAGTTCCGCTAAATGAAGTTCCCAATTGGGAGACAACCGTTTGAATATCCTGAAGCGTGCCACACAACATTTTCAGGACTTCAAGCGCCACGAATGAATATGACTGGTTGCTGCGTCTTGACGGTCCTGAATCGCGCCAGAACACAAATCCTAGGACTTCAACACCGCGAATCCGCGTAACTGCTGGGTCCTGGAAATCCTGAACCGTTCCAGAACGCCGATTCTGGTTTGTAAACTGTTAACCATACAACCCGTGAGACCCTTACAAACTTTAGCACGGATGAGCGCGGCTCTAAGACGATAACCACATGTTGAAAAAGAGCC